GGCCCCGCCGCTCCCTCCCCCCAGAGTCTTCTGGGCTTGCCAGATGCCTCCTCCCCTTCTGCAGGGATTGCAGGGGGCCACCAGGTAAGGGCCACCACTCACTCCCAGCCACACAGAGCCCACGGGCACGGGGACAGAGTGGGCAGAAGGGGAGAGCGGGGAGGGACACAGGCAGAGCTGCCCAGCCCTGCTTCAGCACATGCAGAGGGGGCAGAGCCCCAGACCACCCTGCTCAGCTGTAGGCATCTCCAACTGCCCTTCTCCTCCTCCACAACATAGAGTTGATGCCCTGGGACAGCACTATCAGAACACCCAGAGGCTCCCCACCATGGTCCCCAGCTCCTGTCCCATCCCTGCCAGGGTTCGACCCTGCCCTGCCCTCTCGCTGATGGTCAGTGGTTTATGGATGGCCCCCTCCCCGCTCCACCAGCTCTGCTGCCTGGCCCCTGCACGGGGGCTGTAGCTCTCAGCACCAGGCTCCAGCTCGCTTCCCCTCCCAGCTCGCTCTTTTCTCTCTCTGCTGTGGAAAGAGGCTTTGGCTGATGTTTTTGCCCCCAGGTAGATCGCAGGTGGTTCTTCCAGGTGCTGGCACCCCCGAGAAGCCGCACCAGCATGAGCCGTGGTGCGTTGCTGCCAGCTGGCAGGGGTGGGCCAGTGGTTCCTGGCTGTGCCACTCCCTCCCAGCGCTGGCAGCGCCCTGCCGCCCCGCGGTGCATGCTGACGCCGGGGCGCTCACTGCATGTCCTCTGTGTGCACCCCTGCCCGAGGGCAGCCCCAGGACCACGCTCCTGCTGCCCATCCCAGAGCCTGCCTGGCCCTGGCCTGGGACACATGGACCCAGTGGCAGTCGTGTGATGGAAGTGTGGCATGGGGATAGCATCTCCTGCAGGACCTCTGTCCTGTCTGCTCTCAGCACACCCACACTGACCTCCCTTTCCTCCCTTCTTTCTTTCCTTCCTTTCTTCTGCCACCAGCTGCCGGCGAGAGTAACATCTACCGGAAACCTCCCATCTATAAGCGACATGGTACGGTTTGTCATCAGTGCACCAGATTCTGCTCCATGGGGAAGCAGGGCAGGGTACCAGTGTGAGGCTTGGACTGACCGAGTTGTGTTTAGGGGCAGGGTGGAAGGGATGAGCAGGCATCAAGACGAGATGTTGGGGTGCTGGGGTTTGGTGGGGTGATGCTCCTGTTTCACCTCTGGGCAGCAGAGTGCAGGGTTCAGTGTGAGAAAAGGGCAGCATTGAACCGCATCCATGTGGCAAGGTATGGAGGTGAAGGCTGGCTGTGGTGCCAGGGACTGGGATAGCTGTGGGAGGAGGAACAAGGCCACAGAAGCAGGCATCAAGACGAGATGTTGGGGTGCTGGGGTTTGGTGGGGTGATGCTCCTGTTTCACCTCTGGGCAGCAGAGTGCAGGGTTCAGTGTGAGAAAAGGGCAGCATTGAACCGCATCCATGTGGCAAGGTATGGAGGTGAAGGCTGGCTGTGGTGCCAGGGACTGGGATAGCTGTGGGAGGAGGAACAAGGCCACAGAGGAATGGCAGAGGGGATGAGGGTGGTCATTGCTAGCTGTTGCCAGGAGCCAGAGCAGCCTCGGGAAGAGGATGCAAAAGGTAATTTGCAGTTTCACATGGAGCCCTGAAGAAAAATTGCAGCCTGTCCTGTGTGGATGCTCCAGGATGAAAGGAGTCCAGGGGCATTGGAGACTGGGGAGGAGGCACAGGGGCGTTTGGTGTCTCTCAGCGGGGCTGGCTTGTACTCTCCTTGCTTGCTTTCACGTGTGGGGGGACAGCAGTTCCCGCCAGGCAGTAACTGTGTCTCCTCTCTCTCCCTGGGCTCTCCCTTCCCACTTTCCACCGCTGGCTGCACCCACCACTGTAAGTAACTGCTGGGTCCCCTGTGCCTGCCCGGGTGACACTGCCACACAGCCTGTCCTTGATGCGCCTTCCCTTGGGAGTCTCCTGCCCTCTGGGGACAAGGAGCAGGGCTCACCCTTGGGTTTCTCACACATCCCTGAGCTGGAGCTGCTTGAGTCACCCCTCTGCTTGCCCTGCTCCACTGCCCCCTTCCTCTGGCAGTAACCACCCAGAGCCCTTTCCCTGTCAAAACTGAGACTTCCTCCATCCTTGCCTGTGTGGTTACAGCCCTCAGGGTGCCTGGACAGCCTGGGATATGGGGACACTGGCATGACGCTGTGCAGGACCCAGAGCTTGTGATGCTGTGGGCCATAAGCTGCTCAGGTCCCTTCCCAGCCACATCAGTGACAGCCCCTCTGCTTGTCACTGTCCCCACTGCCTTCCTCTGCACCCTTGTCTCCAGGAGGTATCAGCAGTTTGAAAATGAATTATTCCCAGCTCTGTGCTGTCCCAGACTTGAATTGCTGGTGGCCACCAGGGAGCGGGGAAGGAAGAGGATTTGCCCTAATCTCAGGGTGGATCTTTGCAAGTCCTACTGGGGGCACTTGGGGTCCTCATTACAGCTCTGCCTGCTCCTTTTGCAGGTGACCTCCCTGCAGCCACGAAAAGCAAAACCAGTGAAGACATCGCACAGTCATCCAAGTACAGCCCTGCCTACTCCCCAGACCCATACTACCACTCCGAGTCGGAGTACTGGTCCTTCCAAAGCTCCCCCAAAGGTAACAGTCCACATTGTGCTAGGGGAGAGGGAAACCCACTCCTGCCCCCAGATCCAGCCATTCCCTGGGAGGGACCCCTCTTGGGTTGGATCTGGACCTGAAGGTAGTGTTGGGCCAAGATACCTGCCAAAGTGACCCCAAAGTCCTAGCAGCCCTTGGGACTCACCTATCCCCATGCAGCTGAGGACTGTCTCCTCCCCACTTACCTCCACCTTTGTCCCTATCTGACCCTCCCATGTGTCTCCTTGCAGCCCCCCGGGCCCGGAGGTTCTCGTCGGGAGGCGAGGAGGATGGGTACGACCGGGGCATGCACAAGGTGAGTGAGCTCCCTGACCACAGCCTGGCAGGGGAGAGCCAGCAGCAAGCAGACCCCATGGTGGTGGGGTTTGGGAAAGAGGCTCTGCCACGTAAGAAGAGGCCACCACCATCCCTCCTGCCATCTCTCCCCCTTTGGTGACCCCCAACATGGGGCTTGAAGGAGGGGCAACGCACCCCCTTGCCAGGGCATCCTACCCCAGCACCCCATCCCTGGGGACAGGGGAGCAGATGGGAGATGCCGAGCCTGTGCCAGGAGGCGCCATGTTCTGCCGTGATGTGCCAGCAGTCAGGGAGGGCCAGGCAGGGAAAGGAGGAGTGCAAAGCGGCTTTCCCTCCCTGCCCAGATCCAGAGTGGCATCGGCAGGCTGATCCTGAGGGAGGAGATGAAGGCTCGGTCCAACTCCTATGCAGACCCCTGGACACCCCCTCGCAGCTCGGCCAGCAGCAGAGAAGCCCTGCACACGGCTGGCTATGAGGGCTCCCTCAATGGCTGTAAGGATGACCCTGTGTGTCTGTCTGTCTGTCCCACCTGGTGTGGCACCAGCCCCTGTGTGAAGCTTGCTGGGGTGGAGAGGGAAGAACAAGGGACTGAGAAGGGGTGGTGAGAGAGGTGCTGGACACCAGAATTGGACTTGGGAGACTCTTCTCCTCTCTGGAGGGCTCCATCCATTCCCTGTGTCCCGGCTGGGATGGGTCATGGCCTGGTGGGTGTCTGCAGTCTGTCTGGGCAGCCTGGTGAAGTGCCTCACTGGGTTGTCGAAGAGTCCCTTGGAAATCTCACAGCACAGCCATGCTGGGTTTGCTCTGACCTGTTTTGGGCATGCTGGGTGTCTGCCTCCTCATTAACAGCGCATCTGGGACCTCCTGGCACCTCAGACCTGCTGACTGGCCCTAGTGCTGCCTTTCTTGCTTGCAGTGCTCTCACTGCAGCACCCAGCCCCTCTCCCCCTGGGGCTGCAGAGGGTCCCAGGGGCGCTGAGGAGCCTGGCAGCACAGACCGTTGCCCACTCCATGCTCTCCTCCCTCACGGCACATGTGGAGCTGGGGCTGTTTGGGGATACTCAGGGGGACTCACAGGGCTGGCAGGCAGGCAGGTCTGCGTGGTGTGAGGCACTCGGTCCCCCCTGACACTCGGCTCTGCTCTCCTTGCAGCTCCCCGAATGCACTACCTGGCCGACAGTGGTGAGTGTGAGCCCTACAGCTGGTCCCCGGGGCTGTGAGGTCTAGAGCCTGAGCTGGAAGAGATGCTGGGACTGGGGAGGGAAGGAAGAGGAGAGAAGATGAAGCCCTTGAAAGGCTGGGCCAGGGTAAAGCTGTACCAGGGCAGAGCTGGTGGCAGTGCCAGGAGAGGATGAGTCAGAGAAACTGAGGAGATTGTGGTGCTGAAGGGTGAGGCAGGAGGGCTGCCATGGAAAAGGGATTTTGGGGAGAGGGATGTCAGCGTGGGAGGAAGCCAGGCTGGAAATGAGTTGGAGCTGGAAGGAGGCAGAGCCAAGTGAATTTGGAGCCTGGCAGGGCCATGGGAGCACAAGGGAAGGTTAGCCCAGGAGTACTCTCCTGGGATGTGGAGCTCATCCCTGTATTTTCACTTATGCACTTTGGTGGCTTCTTTGCAGATCCCCTCATTTCCAAGTCTGCCTCCCTCCCTGCCTACAGGAGGAATGGGCTGCACAGGGTAAGTGCCTCCTGCCTGCACTGCACCACTGCCAGGCATCTCTGCACCCTTTGTCGTTCTCCCCACACTCCTCAAAGCCCCCAGTGCTCCCCTTCCAAGAGTAAGGGTGTCCTGCTCCCTCTTCTGCACCCCTGCCATCTGTGCCCATCCAAAGTGACCATTACTGGGGACCAAAGCACTGTGTCCAGGCACTGCAGAACAGAGGTGCCTGCTCTGAACGTCGTTGTAGGACACTTTTCAGAGGGACCCTGGTGTTGCTTCCCAGCATGAGAGCTTTGCTTTATACTCCAGGGCAGCAATTGCTGGGGGTCAGGAGACCTCGTCCTGCTTCCACATGATCTGGGCTTGTCACTTCACCTCCTTGTGCCTCAGTTTCCCCGCTGCCATGTGTGGGGAGTGAGTCCTGCTTTGGGGTGGGTGGGTGCCTTCCCCCCTAGGAACATGAGAGGTGCCATGTAGAGCATCTGTAGGGGGACCCTCTCTTACTCCACCCTCCCTGTGTCCTGTCTGCAGCCTCCCAGTGCCGAGCTTTTCCACTATGACAGCACGAACGCCGTCAACTGGGGAATGCGAGGTAAGGCGCTGCGGGGCTGGGGAGCAGCACGGGCAGGGGACCCTGTAGGCATAGAGCCAGATGCCATGAGGCTGCCTACCCTACCCCAGGCAGCTCTGGAAAATGAGGTCCAGGCTAGAGGGAGGAGGGAGACGGACAGGGATCTCTGGAGGGAGAATCCTGGCAGCGCACGATCAGGGGTCAGCATGGCTCACGTCTCTTGTCTTTTCTTTCTCCCCGCAGAGTACAAGGTAAGATGCTTCTGCTCCAAGGAGCAGCTGCCAGCTGGAGGTGTGAGTACCACCCAGAGGGAGTCCCAGAGGTGTGTCCATGTGTCCCCAGGCCCTGCAAGAGGGAGCCTCTGCCCTCTGCCCACAATGCCCTACCTTCATCCTTCTCCATCCCCCACCTGACAGCCCCATCCTGGGACTGTGGGGTTGGACCGGAGTCCTTCCCCTGCTGCCAGGGTCCCGTCTGTGGCCGAGCAGAAATCACCTGAGTGAGAGACAGAGAAGGGTGGTTGTGCTGGTGGGTCCCTGCTCACACTCATCCCTGGGTCTCTGCTGGTTTTGCGGAATGAGCTAGGCTATTCCAGAGCCACCAAGGGGATTCAGGATGGATTAGGGTCCGTCTGAGAGCAAGTTCCCCCTCTGCCTTGACCTGTCCAAGCCCTGGAGGCAGCTTTGCCACCCAAAGCCTGCTAAATGTGGTGGGGAAAGGCCGTACCCTGATGGCCCCCATGGCCCCAATTCCAGATGTGCCCTAACTGTCCTCTTCTGGCTGCAGAGCTGCCCCATGGTCTTTCTGTTCCCGTGCAGATATACCCCTATGAGCTGCTCCTGGTGAAGACGAGGGGAAGGAACCAGCTGCCCAAAGATGTGGACAGGACTCGGTTAGAGGTGAGGGGAGTCTTTTCCACCAGGGCTAGTCTCTCTGGGGCTCAGAGGGACCCAGTCCTGCAGGGTGTCCCATTAGCTGGCAGGCAGCGTGGGGCTGCAAGGGGCTCGTGGATGTGTGAGGAGCATCTGCGCAGCTCCCCAGGAGCCACATATGTGCCAGCACACTGTCACGGTGGTCCTGCTGCTCTGCTGGCTGGGCAGAGCTGTTCCCCATGCCTGCAGCCCAAGTGCATTTGTCAGGAGCAGGAAGGAACTGGGTGCTCTTCCTCTCCTGGATGGGTACTGCTGGGCACTTGCAGCACCCCATCGTACCCAGCTGGGCAGGGGATACACGCCATCAGACCCCCTCACGTGCCCTCCTCCAATACAGCAGCCATGTGGCCTACATGGTGGCCATGGGCCCAGGTGGTGGCCATGGTCCCCAGCCTTAGCCCAGCATCCCCTCTCTCCCCAGCGCCACCTCTCCCAGGAGGAGTTCTACCAGATCTTCGGCATGACCATCGCCGAGTTCGACCGCCTGGCCCTGTGGAAGAGGAACGAGCTGAAGAAGCAGGCCCGGCTGTTTTAAATACAGTGCACTATAAATATATACATACCTATAAATATATACATAGAAAGATCTCTATATCGCAGCTCTGTATGATTCTCGGTGCTGTATGTGGCAGAGGCGCCCTCTGCACCCCTGAGAGTGAATTGGAGTCTTGCAGATCATTTTATGCTCTTTGCTTCCTTTTCTTTTCCAACTGTATCGATCCTTGGGTTCTCCCAGGGACCAAAGCCGTCGGGCCCCCGAGGTGCCTGGTGTCTGTCACTGCTGCCCCATGGGGACAAGGGAGGAGGATTTTCCTCCTGCAATACCTGGGGCTGTAGGAGAGAGGGCTGTGGGATAGGGGGCTAGGATAGGGGGTGTCCTGTCCCCCTCTGCTCAGCTACGTACAGGTGGAAAATATCCTGGATATGTTTGCAGGAAAATTGAACTGTTTGAGGAGGGCCATGAAGATGATCAAAGGCTGGAGCACCTCCCCTGCAAGGACCAGCTGAGAGAGTTGGGACTGTTCAGCCTGGAGAAGAGAAGGCTCCGGGGAGACCATATTGTGGCCTTCCAGTTCCTGAAGGGTCCTACAGGAAAGCTGGGGAGGGACATTTTACAAGGGCAGGTAGTGATAGAACAAGGGGGAATGGTTTTAAACTGGAAGAGGGGCGATTTAGACTGAATATTAGGAGGAAATTCTTTACTGTGAGGGTGGTGAGATGCAGGCACACGTTGCCCAGGGAAGCTGTGGATGCCCCCTCCCTGGAGGTGTTCAAGGCCAGGTTGGACAGGGCTTTGGGCAACCTGGTCTGGTGGGAGGTGTCCTTGTCCATGGCAGGGGTTGGACTGGATGAGCTTTAAGGTGCCTTCCAACCCAAACCATTCTATGATTCTATGAAAAAGAGATCACACCATGGGCTCCTTAATGCCCTCCCAGCCCTCAACATGGCCATGCACTGGGGGCACCTTCAGCCTCACCCTCAGCATCAGAAATACAGAGGTTGGGGCAGAGGGATAAGGAGGAGCAGAGCTGGGGACCCCACAGGGAGCAGGGTGCAGCCCCACGGCTCGGGGTGCAAGGCTGAGCCCGGATGACTCCCAAGCTGTTGGCTTTCACTGCAAACCCAGTATTGAGCCAGTTCCTCCTCCCAAAGTGCTGGAATAACAGCTTTCCAGGCCATCCCAAAATCAAGCCCTTCTTAAATGAAAACAGCCAAAGCTACCGCCTCCTATGTGCAGTTTCTTGCTGCTCTTCAGGTTTGTCTGGGGCCGGACGGGCTGCGGTGCCACCCGGTCCCGAGCTTGGGGCCCTGGCAGGAGTGGTGTGAGCACCCAGCCCTGCTGCTGCGGGTCTCAGCACCCACGTGAACAGTGGTGGGAACAGTCTGGCCTGGAGCTGGGGGCAAGTCCAGAGCAGCAGGGCTGGGGGGACCAGTCCTGCTAACTCCTGGGCCTTTTCATTGGGGTTTTCCTGAAGTACCCCATCTTTGAGGCCTGAGTCCCAGGGCAGGAGATCTCCCATCAGCAGCTGCCCCAGCTCCAGGAGCTTTATGCTGGCATGGAACGGGCTGGGGACTGAGGTGGAGATGGCAATATTGCACTGGTAATTGCTCCTGTCTGCTTTAGTGCAGCAGTAAATGAACCGATTGTGTTTATAATGATTTCACCCATATAAAATGTGGCTCCCTAAATCAAGCTCAACCATTTGTGGCTATAAGAAACTTCTATCTCCAGCAGCAGTTTGAGTTATAAAGCCTGGAGGATATTGTTACGAATAATAATAACAGCAGGAGTATTTTAATTTTCAAAGCATTTTATGGACAGTAACTGTTTCCCACAACTACCTGCATGGCAAAGATGAGGGAACTGAGGCAGGGCTCATTGCTATTTTTCAAAGCCTAAGAGTGCCCCAAATGGGGAAGCCCTCGAGGCCAGTTGCTAATGGACATGTAGTATTTCAATTATTGCTTTCCCAAGTGATAAGTGGGTGCGTGTGAAACCGAACTGCATTTCTGTCACAGCCTACTGTCCCCAGGAGAGGGCTCAGCTGCAGTCCTGAAACTGGGAGAAATTGTCCCGGGAGTGACAGGAGCCACTGCCCCTGCTGCCACACACTCTCCACGCACAGGGCGCTCCCTCGCACACCCTGAGGTCTCCTGAGGTCATTGTTGGGGAGGGATGGTGATGGTCACAGAATTACAGAATGGTGGGTGTTGGAAGGGACCTCTGAAGATCATCCAGTCCAAACCCCTGCCACAGCAGGATCACCTAGCGTAGGTCATACAGGAACATGTCCAGGCAGGTTTTGAATGTCTCCAGAGAAGGAGATTCCATAACTTCTCTGGGCAGACTGGTCCAGGGCTCTGTCACCCTCACAGTAAAGAATTTTTTCCTTATGTTCAGGTTGAACCTTCTGTGTTCCTGTTTGTGACCATTGCTCCTTGTCCTGTTGATGGGCGCAACCAAGAAGAGTCTGGTCCCACCCTCCTGACACACACCCTTTAGATATTTATAAGCATTGATGAGAACTCCCCCTCAGTCTCCTTTCCAGGCTAAACAGACCCAGCTCTCTCAGCCTTTCCTCGTATGGGAGATGCTCTGGTCCCCTCAGCATCTCAGCGGCTCTGCGCTGGACCTTCTCCCGTAATTCCTTGTCCTTAGCTGCTGATATGAGCACCATGGCCACGCAGAGGCTGGGCACATGGGGGACACCAGGAGGGAGCAGCCATGAAGGGGACTGAAGGTAGGGGGAGCAGGAGACAGCACGGATGGAGCAGGGAATGAGGAAAAAAAAGGAGTATGTGCTTGCTCAGTCGGTGTGCCAAACTGAAGTTCCTCACACCGAAGTTGCCTGAACCAACAACCCCTGTGGGCAAGCAGTGGGCAGGTGGAGGTGGCCTGCTCTGGCCCCCTGCTTTTCATGAGGGGATCTGCAGGTGCTGCCACTGCTGGGGGACCCTCAATGGCCGGCACGGAGCAGCATATGGGGGAGATGCACGGGCGGGGACAGCGCCGGGACACCCACAGCCATGCCAGGGGGTGGAGGGAGCTGGGTGCTGCATATGGAGGGTCACCAGCGATGGGGACAATC